GGCGGCGTGGCCGAGCCCTTGGCCGTGTGACGGCGGGCGCCCCCGCCGGCTGCCTTCTCTCCAAATGTCTCGGGCAGCGGGGCTGGTCTGGCTCGGAACCTGGCGTGGGGGTCCAGTTGGAGCGTGGCCAGAGCCCTCGCCCCCCGTGGGCCGGCCCGGCCTGCGGAGTCCGTGGCCGCCGGCCCCACTTCCTCGGCCAGCAGACACGTCTGCTTCTTCGGCGTGGCGATGTCGCGGCGCCGTTCCCTTGGCGCTGGGCCGTGTCTCCTCTCTCCAGCTCAAGGCTCTAGGACTCGCCGTGTCCAGGGGACACGACTTCCGGCGTCCCCCTCCGGGCTGGCAGCAGGCGTGGCCTCGACCCGGAGGCGCGCTGCTGGCCGTCCTCCCGCCGGCTGCTCCTCCTGCCCGGGGCCAGCCCCAGCCCGATCTTTCTCATGCCGCTTCTTCGTGGGCTTGGCCTGGCAAGTCGCTGCCTCAAGTTCGATCCGCTCATGGGGGGTAGATCTGAATGTCCTCATGGCCCGCTGGGGCCGGGGAGCACGACAGGCCTGGGGAGACCCCCAGACAGTGGCGCGGCCTGGTGCGTGGGCGGCAGCGCTGGGCCCTGTAGCGGCGGGGTGTTCACGGGAGCCCGGGAGCCCGTGTGCGGGCGTGGCCTCCTCCGTTTGCTCCGGGACTTTGCTCTTGAGAACAGACTGGACCTTAAAACCGGCCCTCCGCTGTGCGGGCGGTGCGGGAGGAGAGCCTGGCTTGGGCCTCTGTGTGGACACAGCGGGCATCTGCTGGGCTTCCTGCAGCGGCAGCCTGGAGCGTCGGCCCCGGCGTCTCTTCCCACGAAGTCCTGCTTGCATCCCAGGGAGAGCACGGCGCGGCCAGAAACCCACAGTTCCAGGCCTGGAACTGCTCCAAGCAGACCCAGAGTGCATGGCGGACTGGCTGCGATCCCAGCATGCACTTGGATCCCAGCAGCAGCAGGAGCGGCACCGGTCAGGCCGCGGGCCAGGCGGAAGCTGGGCAGCTCCGGCCGGGGAGCCGGTGCTCTGTCCGTCAGCGCCGGGGGCGTTAAGCGAACGCTAAAGCGGCTGGGCAGAGCAGGGACGGGGCCGTGGGCGGAGAGCCTGGCCAGCCCTGGCCCTGGGAGCCGGGGAGGAGGGGGAGGCCCTGGGAGACCGGCGGGTGGCTGCGGGAGTCCGGAGGCAGAACACACGGGCACGGCCCTGTGCTGCCCAGGCCCGGGCTGGCACGCAGGGGCCGCTCCCTGGGTGCGGGGCTTTTATTCCGGCAGGGCCTGGGTTCAGAGGGTGGAAGGAAAGACCACGATCCCGAGACCTGCCCACGGTGCCGCTGGGCGGTTTAGGGCGGTTGCCGCCCCTCGGCGCGGGAAGGGGGCCGCTCTGGCCCTGCCCGGTCCCCTCCTCCGGGACGGCCCATTAGGGTGCGCGCGGCTTGTGGCCCGCTTCGGGCTTGGGCGGGCTCTGTGCGCACAGAGGGGCGCGGAGAGGTGCTGCAGCGGCGGCTTGGGGCCGAGAGGGAGTGGGCAGGAGGGACAGCGGCGAGGTGGTGACCCTCGTGGTGACCGGGGACACAGGGGGGAGGAGACGGGAGGAGAGGCTGTGTCCGGGGAGAGGGAGGGACCCGGGGCCGGGCTCAGCAGACGTGTCCAGCCCTGCCGCCTCGGCCGGGCCCCCGGGCGTCGCTGGGCAGGGATTCTGGGCCCGTGAGGACGCGCAGACCACAACCAACGGACGCCTGCCCCTGAGCATGGGGCTGCGGCCACGTCGCTGTCCTGGAGCAGAAAGCGACTGAGGGCCCCGGACGGCGCGCAGGACGACACCCGGAAGGGGGCCGCAGGCCGCCGCCTCGAGCAGGCGCTGGGTCGCGCGTGCCGGGTCCGGGGCCTCCAGGCCAGCGCGCGTGTCTGACGCCGGGAACAGGCCGGCGGAGAGGGGCAGCAGGCGCTTTTACTCCAGGGGCACCAGCGAGAGGGTCCCCATGGAGAGGACGCCTGGTGCCCGGGTGCGCTGAGCACGCCTGGGGGCCGCATGCGGAGGCTGCACACGGCCCTCCAAGACGAGAATGGGGCGCACGCCCTCGAGCGTGGGGAGAATCCTCCACTCGGCCCAGGGGACAGGGACCGGCGGCTGACACAAGCTATGCAGATTCCGAGCAGAAGGGAGAATCTCTGAAAAGTCAGAATTTCCGCCGCTAGCTTATGTGACGATCTCCCTCATAACATCAGAGCTATTCCGAGCAGCCATCAGCTCACAACTGGACTGCCTGGGCCTCAGAGGCCGAAATGCCCACCCTGGGGCATTCCTGAGATACAAAGCAAGCCGGGGAGAGACAAGACCCCCAGGGCAGCAAAACTCTGGGGGGCTTCCTCTGTCTCTTGAGACAAAAAGCCAAGGGCATCAGGACTCAGGGCAGGTTCCTACCCCTGCAGCAGGTGTGGCTCAGTGCAGGACTGCGTGACTCCGCCCCGTTTCCCCTTTTCTTAAACAATCACTAACTGCTCTGCTGACCTTACGTTGTCCATCAGCTTCTCTTTAGACAATCCCGGACGTCTCTGCGAACACAATCTCCTCCTTCCCCACAGCCCCCTGCTAACAGCTCATCCTTTCCCAGACCCCTTCTCCTTTGAGCCGCAGTTAAACACCCGTGCACGTGAGCATTGCCGCAGACGCGTATAACCTGGAATGCCGTAAGTGTCGGGACACCTGGTTCCCCTCCCCCCGAGAACTTTGATGCCGATTTCTTATTAACTCACCTGATGCATTACTGTAGTTAGCTACTTGCCACACAGTCTAAACAAACACCTGCTGGGAAGGCGAGCAGAAGACCGGCGCCCCACGCCGACTCCGTGTCTTCCCCGCGCCCCCCGCCCCCTTTCCGGAATCTCCGCAGGCCGCGCCCCCTCCGCCCCCCGTGCATGGAGGTCCCCAATGGGGCACATTCACCAGCACCAGTCTGCTCTTAAAGCAAGCGTCACCCCAGTCAAAGGGGGCTGTCCCCTTCACGCTGCCCACTCGCGCACGCTGGGAGGCCGGGCGGCGGCTCGGGCGTCCTCTCGCCGAGCACTCTGCTGTCCGCCGGGTCGAGGGCTGCCCCTGTGCGCGCCGCGTCAGCCTCTGTTCCCACGTGCTCTGAGGCCTCCCTGAAATTCAAACTCTCCCCGGGGAGGGGGGAGACAGCTCTAGGCAGCAGACTGGCGAGCTGAAGCTCAGGCCCCGCCGGGCTGGGAGGAGCCCACGGCCAGCGGTGCATGCGCCCGGACATCTGGTCAGAGCGAATTTCTCCGTCTCGGCTGCATGTCAGAGTCCCGGCACAATTTTTTTGTTTTAATTTAAAGATGAAATAAAACCAACAGCCAATATCAGAGTCGCCTCCAGCTCAAGGGACTCAGAACACCCCAGGTGGGCTCCCGGGCAGGGCCCTCTCAGAGGGGTCTCGGGGGAGTCTGAGGTGCCAGGTGGAACCCAGGGTCCGCTGTCAACTCCCACAGGACATCTGGGGGTGGGGGTGCCCCTGCTTTTCAGGGAGATCCCAGCCAGACAGGACAGGCCCTTTCTCTTTAAAGAGCCTGAGCGTTCTGGGACTTTGGATGACAAAACAAATTACTAGTTACTGATAATGAGTTCGGACTGCCTCCCGCCTACGATGGTTTAAATTGTGACTTTTCAATTTCACGAGGTGCAGAGGCTTCATGCACGCGGTGGGAACTGTCCTGGGGATCCTGGCATCTTCCCGAGAGCAGCCACGGCCCCGACAGACGCCCCAAGATGCCAGGATGCGCCTCTCTACCCCAGGGGGCCGGACGGCCGCGCCCCAAGCAGCCCGGCGTCCCGGGGCCCGGCCGAGGGGCGCGGGGCGCTGCGGCTTTGGGGCCCACTGCATACGCCGGTGGAGGCCGGCTGAGGCGCACCTGCAGCTGTTTACTGCCAGTCGGCAGCTGCACGCGGGTCGCTGCCAGGACTCGTCCCTGAGGCCCAGACGGCCCCTCGCCGCGGAGGGTGAGGATGTGTGGGGGTCACGCCGGTGGGTGGGGCTCACAACCCTCGGCGCGCACGGGCGTGCAAGTGGGGCTCCTGTGGAAACTGGGCACACGCCGCCGTCCTTCCTTGGGACCCCAGGGGTGCAGCCACGGGCGACGAGGCCCCCCGCTTTCTAGCCGGCCCCTGCCGCTCGCTCTTTGGAGCTGGTGCGGTGCGGGGTGGGGGAGGGGGCCAGTTAGAGCCCTTCCTGCTGGGCTGCCCGCCGCAGCCGAGCCTGCCCGCAGCCGTGGCCACTCTGACCGCACCGCGGACTCCCCTGGGTTTCCAGCACCCCAGCGCCAAGGTCACAGGGCCGTTGGGCCAGAATCAGCAGGCCTGTTAAGGCTCTGAGAGCCGCTGCCTTTGCCCAGACGTGCGTCTGATTCTCAGCCCTTCCGGGGGGCTCTGCCTCCCCAAAGCCTGGCTCTGGCTCTGCCATTGGCCACTGGCGTTATGTTCCCCAGAGAGCCTCATTTGCTAAGGGTGCCAGACAAGGACAAGGCCCAGCTCCTGATCAGACTCAGTGGGCTCAGGCAGCTTAGCCTTTCTGCTCTGCTTTCGGGGCTGTGTCCTGTGTCACAGCTGTCTGGGGAGCAGAGGTGCAGGGGAGCTCGGCAGACACACGCTGCCACTGTGCTCACAGCAGACTCACTGCGTCCACCTGCGTCCACCTGTGTCCACCTGCGTCCCCGGGCAGAGCTGCCCGGATGCGCTCTGGCCGGGCTCTGACACCCCAGGCCACATTCTGGCTTCCAGTGTCGGTTGGGGGGCGCCGGGATGACGGTGTCAGAGATGCCGATGGTGGGGTCGGGTTCCGGAAGGCCCAGGGGCTCAGCGTCTGAGTCTCGTGGGCCCAGGCGGAGCTGGGCTGAGGTCCGAGTTCGAGACCTGCCCGAAGGGACCGCAGGTGGGCGCTAAGCTCCTGCAGCGTCCGCCAGGAGGTGCTTCTCCCGGGCCAGACAGGGCCGCGCCCCAGTCCCCGTGCGCCCCGAGCCCCGCTGGCTGCGAAGCCGACACAGGGTCTCTCCTAGTTTTCTCCAGGGACTGAGGCAGTGCCCAGCGGGGGCAGGCACGGTGCCTGCAGTCCAGCATAAGCCCTATTCCTCAGCGGTACGGCCACGACCTTCTTAGGGGGACCCTCCTCCCTGGCCGGGGGCCCCCTGTGTTCTCAGGTCTTGCCCCACGGTCGGCGGGGAACGGCCCGCTAGGGAGGAGAGGATCTGTAGACACGCTTGCCGTGCCCGGGCCTGCAGCGTGCTGGGGTCCATGAGCACCGACGAGGCTTAATGTGCCTCGACTGACACTACAGAGCCGCGGCCCCCCTGGGCGGCGGGGCCGTGAGGACAGCGGCCAGCCAGTGCCCCGAGGTGCCGTTCCCAAGAGTCCTTGCCCCTTTCACAGGAGAGACCTTCCTGAAGCGCCTGCCCCCCGGCCTTTCCTGGGGCTGTGCCCCCCAGAGGCTGGGGAAGGGCGGGGCCTGGCTAGGGCGACTCTGGAACCTGGGTTTTTGGGTACGTCTTTCCCTCCGGGGTGCGCCACCAGAAGTGGCTCCTGGCTGTCCTGTCTTGGGGCCTGCTCCCCCAGGTTTCTCACCGCCTTTCCTCTGCCCCACCTGTGGCTAGTTCAGAGGCCCAAGGGCGGGTACTGGACAGGATGCCAGGGTCACAGCTGATGGCAGCCGCGTCCCGAGGGAGGCACAGCCGGCCCTGTCCCCGTCTCCTGCAGGTGACCCCGAGGGGCCACTCCCGACTGAGGAGCCTGGGTCTTAGGGCCGCTTGGCGCCTCCTGCCCTGATCCCCTCCTGGCCCCCCCTCCCGCATCCCATGGCCAGCGAGGGCCTTACGATGCCACAGCGCTCGCCGGGCGGGGCACATGAGGTCACCCTCCCTGAGGTCCCGTCGCCTCAGGGCTCGTCAGCACAGGGCCGCGGGAGCCGAGCAAGGTGCCGAGGCGGCGTGGCCTGGCCTGGGCCCCAGCCTGGTCGTGGCTCGGCCCGTCCTGGGACACTGCCCTCCTGGGCAGCGGGCCCTAGCCTCCAGGAGCCTCTGACGGGAGAGGGTGTGTCCGCCAACAGGGACAAGGAACCCCAAAGCAGAGCCCAGGGAAGCCCCAGCCTGTGCAGCACCGGGCCGCGCCTGCAGTGAGTGGTCACTGCAGGGCAGAGGTCACTGGAGTGCGGTGGGCTGGGGGCGCGGGCACAGGGTCTCACCAGGACACAGCCCAGCCCACCGAGCAGCCCTCAGAGGCAGGCTTTAGTCCTGCACAATGTAAACTTCAGGCGGATTCATTCCCTCGCCCCCTCTCCCCAGGAGGGGTGGGAGCAGTGTTCTGGTCTCTCCGGTCACCCTCTGTCCTTGCGCCAGTGACCCTGGCCCCGGCCCCGGAGGGAGCGGCAGGCACCGCCTTGCCTCACCCTTTGCAAGTAGGAGCTGAGGGCCTCCTGCCCTGCTTCATCTTCCCCGGCCTATTCCCCTTCCAGAGACGAGGCTCAGAGAGGTCAAGCCACCTGCCTGAGGCCACACAGCCATCTGGGGCAGAGCTGTGCGCGGAGCCTGGCCCCTACACTCGTGCAGTCTGACGCAGCCCCACCGGCCCAAACACACGGGAGGGAAGAGAGAAGCACCCACCAGTACCTGTGGCCTCCGCCTCGCCTGTCCCTTCGGGGGATGTGGGGCGGGAAGCGCCCGTCGGGGTCGTGGCCGTGGCTGCTGCGTGGGCCTCGCCGCCTGACTGCTCGGGGCTTGAGGGCCCGGCTTCCAGAAGTGCCTCTGCAGGGTGCTGGGTCCACTCGGACTCGGGGACGCTGGTGCCGATGACAGTGCCCAGCCCCGAGGGGTGACCGGACGGGTCTCCGCTGAGCTCAGTCCTGTCCCCGGAAGCCACGGGTGTGGTCAAAGGCCAGCCCGATGCCTCTGTGCTCCCGTCGTAGGTGACCACGGGCTTCCCACTCACTTCTGGGGCGGCCGAGCCCTCCCCAGGGCCTTCCGGAGGAAAGGCCGAGGGGCTGCGGCCCAGCCCCAGGCCCGAGGCTCCCTCCACATCAGCGTCGCGGAAGGGGGTGGTTTCGGGCAGATCAGGGCTTCCGGAAGCTGCCCCGCTGGCGGCAGACGCCCCCACGCCCCCTTCAGGGTCGGCCGAAGTCTCGCTGCTGGGTTCTGGAACCGATGAGGCTTCCACCCCGGAGCCAGGAAACCCGGGGGCGGCGCCGCTGAGGTCGCCCGAGGCAGAGGCGTCGCCGCTGGACTCCAGGAGCTGGGGGGTGTGTGTCGCGGGTGGTCTCTGGGCAAGCTCCTGCGCAGCTGTGGGCTCGGTGACCCCTTCCACCAGCTCAGAGGTGATGAGAGTAACTTCTAGAAGCCCTGAGGCCTCCCCGCTGGCACCCGTGGCTGCGAGCGGGTCCCCACTCACGTCCCCGCTGAAATGTGGAGCGCCGGATGGCTCCCCGCTGGGCACTGCCAGCCCGGACTGCAGTCCACCGAGGTCCAGAAACCCCGAGTGGTCTCCAGACGCATCTGGCATTCCAGAATGGGCACCGCTGAGCTCCAGAACCCCCGAACTGAGCTCCAGAACCCCCGAAGGCCCTTCCCCTGCTTCCTGGGCTGCCGCAGCCTGCGTGGCAGACTCCACCAAAGTCCTGTCCTCAAGAGAAACGGTGGGGAAGCCCGACAGAAGTCCGCTGCCCTCGGAGGCCCCCGAGGGCTCGCCGCTCCCCAGCTCAGCGCCAGAGGGGTCCCCACTGCCCTGAGCTGCTCCGCTCGGCTGGCCGCTGGATTCGGGCGGCCGGGACGTAAACCCGCTGGAGCCGACTGCTCCAGAAGCTTCTCCGCTGACATCCACCAGCCCAGATGCGCCGGAGAGGTCTGCCTCCCCGGAAGGGAGGCCACTGAGGTCCACGGACCCTAAGCCTTCTTCTTCTTTCGGTGGAGCTGGGGTCACTTCCACCAAGCGCGTGTCCACGAAGGTAACGCCTGAAGACTCACCACTGCCACTCGTGATGCTGGAAACCAGCTCAGGGACCCCTGAGGTCATCTCACTGAGCCCTGGCACCCCCGATGACTGTCCACTGAGGTCAGGGGCCCCGGATATTTCTCCACTTAGGTCGGTTATGCCAAACGGCTGGCTGCTGCCATAAAGAACGCCAGAAGCTTCTCCGCTGACATCTGGCTGTCCAGAGGACAGTCCACTGAGTTCAGTCACTCCAGATGTTTCCCCAGAAAACCCCGATGGCTGCCCACTGACCTCAGAAAGCCCAGATGTTCCCGTGCTGATGTCAGGGGCCCCGGACGGCTGGCCGCTGGCTCCAGGTCCTGAAGGGAGCCCACTGCCCGCCCCGCTAATGTCCAGCTCGCCGAAGGGCAGCCCAGATAGCTCCCCAGCACCGCTGATGCCAACGGTCCCCCTCCCTTCCAGCTCCCCAGCAGTGGCGGCTGTCACGACTTCCACCAAGGTAGTGTCCACGAGGGAGACCGTGGGGAGCCCAGATGGCAGCTCGCCAAAGTCAGGCAGGCCGGAGGATGGTCCACTTCCAAGGTCCACCCCAGAGTACTCACCACTAAAGCCAGAGGGAAGGCCACTTGCTTCTGGAGTTTGCCCACTTCCTAGGGTCCCAGAAGGCAGGCTGCCGAGACCCGAGTCTCCAGAAGCAGAGCCAAGCAGGTCTCCTTCCTCAGAAGGCCGCCCATGCAGGCCCCCGGCTCCAGAGGCAGCGGTGTCGAGACCCTCCCTTCCAGGGGGGAGCCCACCAAGGCGCCCTTCTCCAGAGGCAGAGGCTTCCGGACCTTCTCCGGACAGAAGCCCACCGCGGTCTCCGGCTCCAGAAGCCGAGGTCTCCAGACCATCTCCAGAAGGGACTCCATGGAGGTCCTCTACTCCGGAAGCAGAGATGTGTAAATGACCCTCTCCGGAAGGAAGCCCACCGAGGTCTCCTGCTCCAGAAGCCGAAGTCTCGAAGTGACTGTCTCCTCCAGAAGGAAGCCCACTGAGGCCCTCTCCTACTCCAGAAACAGAGGTGTCTAGATCACCCTCTCCTCCAGAGGAATCTCCACTGAGGTCCCCTTCTCCAGAGGTTGGGGGTTCTGGGCCTTCTCCAGAAGGAAGCCCACTGAGGTCCCCTTCTCCAGAGGCTGGGGGTTCTGGGCCTTCTCCAGAAGGAAGCCCACTGAGGTCCCCTTCTCCAGAGGCTGGGGGTTCTGGGCCTTCTCCAGAAGGAAGCCCACCGAGGTCTTCTACTCCAGAAGCCGAAGTCTCTAAGTGACTGTCTCCTCCAGAAGAAAGCCCACTGAAGTCCCCTTCTCCAGAGACTGAGGGTTCTGGGCCTTTTCCAGAAGGAAGCGCACTGAGGTCCCCCTCTCCAGAGGCTGAGGGTTCTGGGCCTTCTCCAGAAGGAAGCCCACTGAGGTCCCC